GGAAGATGAAAAAATGAATGAAAAGAGAAATGTTATATCAAAAGAGTAAGACGACATAATTTTTTTTAATTTTTTTTGTGACAGAAAAATACTGTTGCATTTATTCAAACCATTTTGTGACTGTATATATATGAAGCTGTCTCAAAACCACAATCACTATGCTAGGTTAGAGTTTTCCAAAAACTCTTTTGAGAAAATTATACTTTCTTGTTTTCCATGTTATATTGTTTTTACTGAATTTTTTTAATATTTTAAGTAGTTTTTTTAATTTTTAGGCACACCTAACATAAATATACCTAAAAAGTAAAAAAATCTTTCAAAAATTCACTAAATACCAAAAAATACAATAATTCAATACCTTTTTTTTCGTATTTTTATGTATTTATTAATTTTAAAAAATATTTTTTCATAATTCTTTTATTTTTTAGATATAGCTAAGTAAGGTGCATCTAAAAAAAATATTTAAAATTTTAAAAATATTAACTAAAAAAAAAACACGAAAGTCACTTTTTGCAACGGCAGAAAATGCCGTCTCAAAAAAGCAGAGTATTTGCAACGGTAGAAAATACCGTCTCAAAAAAGGAGAGTATTTGCGACGGTAGAAAATACCATCGCAATTACTCTCCTTTTTTGAGACGGCAAATTGTGCCGTTCCAAATGCTCTGCTTTTTTGAGACGGCAAATAGTGCCGTCGCAAATGCTTTGTTTTTTTGAGACAGGAAACAGTGCCGTTGCAAAAAGTGACTTTTTGAGGCGGCAATTGTGCCGCTGCAAATATTTCCGTCTTTTAAGCCCAATTTTCTTGTAGTGAATGTCTATTCTAAGAAAAATGTATAGAGCCTTGCATTCCAAAGGTGAATGGAGGGCAAGTATTCTTCCATTTTTATTACCACTACAACAATAGTCGTTTTGGCGACTAAATTTTTAGTCGCCAAAAGTTAATTTTTAATCGCCGAAATTTTTTAGCAATAGATTAGTCGTTGAATAATTGTCGGGAAAGATTTTGGCAACTTAAAAAAAATTTAGTCGCCGAAAGTTATTAATTGCCGACTAATTTTTTAGTCGCCAAAACCTTTCAAAAAAATTAATATCGCATTTTCAGCGACTAAAAAAATTTTGTCGCGAAAAACTAAAATTATTTACGGTGACTAAAGTTTAGTCACCAAATTTTTTTTTGTTATTTATCTTATTTTTTTTAGCTACTAAATATTACAGTCGCCCAAAGTTTGATTTTGTTTTTGGCTACTAAAGTTTTAGTCACTAAACTTTTTTATTTCATTTTTTTTTTTAACTACTAAAGTCTTAGTTGCCTAAAATCTAATTTTTTATAACTACTAAATATTTAGTAGCCAAAAAGTTTTTTTCATTTTATTTTTATTTTTTAGCTGCTAATATTTAGTCGCTAAAAATATTTACTTCCTTTTTGGCTACCAATTGTTTAGTCGCCAAAAACATGATTTTATTTTTTTTATAATTATTTTGTCCACAACCTGTATGTATTCCGTGCAACCCGTACCATGTATATATATAAACCAATACATATATTATCAATCATTTCACAATTTTTAACCATTTCACTTCCAACCATCCAAAAAGGAATCACTTTAATGTCAAATTTCATACAAACTAAATATATTCCAACCTAAAATATAATAAGGGTAAACTATCAATAGGTCCTAATAGTTAGACTTAATACCCATCAAGTTCTATTAAAAATAAATCTTGATAAAATTATTACTAAAAATAATTTTTTTGTGATAATTTTTTATATATGTCGCTAAAAATTGACAATTAGTGACTTTTTTTTTTGTCATGATTTGTATAAATTGTCGCTAAAATTTACAATTAGTGACTTTTTTTATGACAAATTTTTTTCATAGGACCTATTAGACAATAAGTCCATTTATTAGGACCTACACGTAAGTATTCCTAATAATAATTCCATACAAAACATGTCCTCCGTACACCAAAAAATATATTAGCAACTAGTTGCACCAGCTACAATAGCAGCAACCAACTGCACAACTCCAGTAGGATTTACAGTTCTAGCAATGCAGACAACAGCATCAGATGCAGCAGTCACAAATAGCTCCCTGCAACAGTCCTACATTTCAGGCCATAACACAGCTACATCATGGCCAAATTTAATGATATATGAGAATAGAAGATCTGAACACCTAAAGAGAATCAACAGAAGAGAGAACCAATCAAACAATTTAGATTCTTATTTGTTCTTTTCTGGCAATGTTAGAATAAATAGTTATGCTATAAAAAAAATATGCATTTTAATTTGTCAAGCGGATGTTATTCCTAACATTATTTGATGTTTTGTCTTATAAAAGAAACCTAATAAGAAAAAAATTGTAACGCCTTCAAAATAATAACATTAAACCCATCAAATAAGACATGCATTGATATGTAAAAGTTCCTCCTTCTTCCATATATCAGAATTTCATTACATAAGTATTACATGTTAACCACAAAAGCAAATGCCCTATGGGCTTACAGCTTTCCAAGTTAACACTTGGTTACAACAAAAGAGTACTAACTCATTACACAATAAACCCTTGGCTTGAATTACATGTAATACATCAAAAAGTAAACGACAAAAGTATGTCCGCCTCTAGCCTCCCAAGCTATGTCCTTGGAGGTGGCATGCTACCTGTACCTGAAAATGATATTCCCATATAGGGTGAGCCACAGCCCAGTAGAAATACACTAAACCAACCGTGAACAATGACTAAAAGATTAGCAATTGATAGATGGCCAACACTGATACATTCACATAAATCACATATTTATGCCACACGACTTATGAGTCCAAGTTACTTTTCATTTTTCCTTTTTCAACAGATAGACATATAAGCTCTATCCACATTCTCAACAGATATGTATAACAACAATATCCCATGTTCACAGATAAGCATATGAGCTATATCCACACTTCACAAAGATAAGTATATAAGCTCTATCTTTACTTCTCTAGACAAGCATATGAGCTGTATCTACGGAGTTCATCCCCTATCTTCTCCCAACACTATCCGGTTTAGAGGTACATCCCCTATCTTCCCCTAAACCGCGGAGTACATCCCCCATCTCCTCCTCTACACAAAACGTATACAAACACATTGGTTCTATATACAATCACTCAATACATAAAGATCATCCCCTACATTCAGTTTTGAAAAAGAAGTAAGTTTGATATTTTTCCAAGAGTGACAGTCATGAAATCAGCAGAAAATACAAGGTAGCATCACTTATTCATACTAACACCTAAACTTACACCCCATTTCCAAGCATACCAACATTTCATACATACACAGGACATGTAAATTAACATAGCACTTGCGAAAATTTTATGAAGTTGAAAGAAGAATATTAATTCTCTTTTAGCCTACTGCTCCCTAAATCATGGAACCCCACACCTCCAAAACATTGATGCACTTTTATTTCACTTTCTACTTTTGTTTGATGAGAAGTTCTTCACAATAGACTTGTCTGTATAGTGTTGGAAAAATATTTTGTATAAAATAAATAAATTGATACAAATCAAACAAATAAATAAATTACGTACCGAATTTATTTTACCGAATCAAATAAATATTTGAAGATCAAGTCGAGTGTGTGATACTCTGTCCTTAAGACAGATTCGCCCCGTTATGGTGCTTACGAAAAATGGCGTCTATCTTCCAGGATATAATGATCTTCACAAATTGAAGTAGCACTTCAAACAATTTGTATGGCGAACAAAAACCTTGTGTTTTATACTCTCTTTAATTTTTTCCTAAAAACTAATATGAAGAGTATTTATGCAAATGAGCAAAACTGGACAACAAAATGAAACTTTTAGATTATTTTCGGATGTCCAAACTGTTGGAATAATGCTGGTATTTATAGGCAAAATAATCTGCCCGAACAGGTTCAATTGAACCGAACAGGTGTAGATTTTGAATGAACAGATACAGTCCAAAATTCAACAGATCTGTCCAAATTGTGTAGTTTCTATCTATGTAACTGCAACAGTTATGAGCAGATTCCAGTAGTTAACTTGTCGAAAATTTCGGACTGAAGGAGATAAGAATGGACAGAAAATTAATTCAATTTTTGGCACAAAATTTGAATTTGATTTCATTAAAAATTCAAATAAATTTTGTCCAAAAAATTAATATTAGAATCGACCCGACCCACAACCGCGCCCGGCACGGTATACCAGTCAGACGGACAGCGGCAGCGGCGACAGCGACGCGCGTGTGGTGGTTTGAGCTAAGGTTCACTTTGTCCATAACTCTTCCCTTATACAAACTTGGGGTGCCCTTTGGGACCCAACCCAAGTTAGTACACTAAGAGCTTATATACTCACAAAAGCTCTCTTAACGTTTCAATGTGGGATAACTGATTTTAAGGAAACCCACATTTAATTCTTTAAATGTCCATTCCACGAACCCAAAAACGACGTCAAGTTCTCATTCACTTATAAATGGTTTTGACGAACCGTCTTCACCGTGTGACTTGCCATGCGGCAAAGAACATGTCATATCTTTGGACCCACCTCAAAAGACGTGTGGACCCCACTCAATTTTGAGTCAGTTAGCCCAAAATAAGCCTATAAAAACCAAAATTTCCAATAATCCCCCACATGAATGGAATTTGACAGAGAGAAAATGCAACAACATGATCTAATTATAGAGAGTACAGAAATTGGAAATATTATGCAAAGGATAGGTAGCTTTTGGCTTTGAACCTTTCCTTGTGAGACATTATCGGATTTACTAGCTAACCAGTGAACATGATGTCTTAAACTGTTCAGCCGTTTGTGTAAACCAAGACAATAGAACTCACACAGTATATTACCAGACATAGTTTAGTTCTCACTATTGTGTTCATTTTTGCCCCTGAACAACCTGGTCTTTCATGAGTGTTCTAGAGAATTGTAGCCTTTCACAAATCTCATAGAACCGGCCCAGTTCATACTAATATAGGTGATTCTTATAAACAGTATCCTGCCATACTCCACTAGTATTCCTAGATATAAGAATCATTAAAAGTATTACTTAACCTAAAACGCTGCAGATATCACTATTTCATCATAGAAAAGGGTAGGAGTTTGACTCCCCAGTGATCCTTATGAGTCATACATAACTCGGTTGTCCCTTTGAACCTAGATCTTGGGATCTCCAGTCAACTAGGTTGGGTTTTCGTAGTGGTAACTCTTATTTAATAGGCTTAAGTCCCATTCCCCTCGATGAATTCTCAACTAGCTCTTTTGCTAACGCTTTGGTTAGTGGATTCGCCATGTTGTCTTTAGACTTTACATATTCAATGGAAATAATTCCATTAGAGAGTAGTTGTCTTACAGTGTTATGTCGATGACGAATGTGTCGTGACTTACCGTTATACATATGACTCTGTGCTTTACCTATTGCTGATTGACTATCACAATGTATGCATATAGCAGGCACCGATTTTGGCCATATTGGAATATCTTCAAGAAAGTGGCGAAGCCATTCTGCCTCTTCTCCAGCTTAATCTAAAGCTATGAATTTTGATTCCATAGTAAACCTAGCAATGCAAGTCTGTTTGGATGATTTCCAAGATACAGCCGCATTACAAGGACTAAAGACATACCCACTGGTGGGTTTTGAATCTCTAGTATCTGATATCTAGTTTGCATCACAGTACCCTTCAAGTACTACTGGATATCTAGTATAATTCAGCCCAATATTACGAGTAAATCTAAGGTATTTTAAAACCCTTATAACTGTTTTCCAATGTTTTATTCCTGGATTACTCGTATATCTACTTAGGTCTTGTTTGTAATGTACAAAAAAAGTCAAAAAAGTCAAAAAGTCACTATCCTATTTAAGTTATATCATCTTATTTAAGTCACATCACTTCTCTACCACATCACTTTAAACCCAACCCATATTTCATAAAAAGTCAAAAAGTACACTTATTTAGAACATCCCAAACCACCCTTAATATGCTTACTGCATAAGCTATATCTGGGCGAGTGCAGTTCATCAAGTACATTAAGCTTCCAATAATTTGGGCATACTCTAATTGAGAAATACTATCCTATACATTCTTAGATAGAAACAAATTAACATCTATAGGTGTTCTAGCAAGATGATCATCATCTTTGCTGAATTTGTCAAGCATTTTCTCAATGTAATGAGATTGTGACAAAGCATAACCTTCTGATGTTTTGGTAATTTTCATACCAAGAATTACATCAGCAATGCCCATGTACTTTATGTCAAAATGTTTATTCAACATTTTCTTGGTAGTTTTAATCATGTCATTATTACTACCTATGATGAGCATATCATCCACATAAAGACATACCATGACATAACCTTTGTTTGTGTTTGTAATATAAACACATTTGTCACACTCATTAATTTCAAATCCATTTGGCATCATTGCCTTGTCAAATTTCTCATGCCATTGCTTTGGCGCCTGTTTTAAACCATATAATGATTTAACCAATTGACACACTTTCTTTTCTTTTCTTGGAACAGAAAAACCTTCTGGTTGTTCCATATAAATTTCTTTATCTAACTCACCATTTAAGAAAGCAGTTTTCCCATCCATTTGATGAATTTTTAGATTGTACAACGATGCAATAACAATTAATATTCTAATGGATGTTATTCTAGTAACCGGTGAGTATGTGTCAAAGTAATCAAGATATTCTTTTTGTCTAAAACCTTTGACCACAAGTCTTACCTTGCATTTGTCAATTGATCCATCCGCTTTTATTTTTCTTTTGAAAATCCAATTGTACCCAAGAGGTTTACAACCTGGTGGCAAATCCATCAATTCCCAAGTGTGATTTTGCAAGATGGATTCAACTTTGCTGTTTACAGCTTCTTTTTATAAAGGAGCCTTAGGACTGGACATAGCCTCTTTAAAAGTTAAGGGCTTATTTTCTAACAAAAATGTTAGAAAATCTAGACCAAAAGATTTTGAGGTTCTAGCAAGTTTACTACGCCTAAGTTCCTCTTCCTCATTTTGATCTATCTCCTACTCTTGTTCTTGATCATGTTCTTGATCCTGACTAGAAATAGCATCAAAAGATATTTTCTTATTACTAGTCTCTTGTCCAATCTTATTCGGAAACACATGTTCAAAGAAAGATGCATTCCTAGATTCAATAATAGTATTTACATGCATTTCAGAATGTTCTGATTTATGAATCAAAAACCGATATGCACTACTATTCATGGCATAACCAATGAAAATGCAATCAGCTGTTTTAGGACCTATCTTAGCCTTTTTAGGACTCAGAATAGCCACTTTAGCCAAACACCCCCACACTTTTAAGTATTTATAGGATGGTACTCTCCCATAACACAATTCATATGGTGTTTGATTTACTTTCTTTCAGGGTACTTTATTAAGAATATAATTAGCATAAAGTATTGTTTCCCCCCACAAGTTCTGAGGTAATCCAGAATTGATTAACATGGTATTCATCATTTCTTTTAAAGTCCTATTTTTCCTTTTAACAATTCCATTTTGCTGAGGTGAGTAAGGAGCTGTGGTTTGATGAATTATTCCATATTCTTTACAAAAATCACCAAAAGGTGATTCATATTCACCACCTCTATCACTTCTAAGTTTCTTAATTTTTTTACTAAGTTGATTTTCAACTTAATTCTTATATTGAATGAAAGTTTCCAAAGCTTCATCATTGGTTCGAATTAAATAAATATAACTATATCTAGTATAGTCATATATAAAAGTAATAAAATACTTTTTCCGACTTCTAGTTTGAATTGATTTAAAATAAAAAATGTCACTATGAATTAATTCAAATGGTTCTGTTCTTCTTTCAATTGAATGAAAATGAGTTTTGGATATTTTGCCTTAACGCAAATTTCACATTTATGATTTGAATCAATGTCAAATTTAGGTAAACATTCCATATTAATTAATACACGCAAAGATCCATAATTAACATGTTCAAGTCTGCCATGCCATAAATTTGAAGACTCAAGCAAGTAAGAAGAAGATGTATTATTATTAATAACAGAGGGTACAACAGTCATTACATTCATTTTGAAAAAGGCCATAAGACATGTAACATTTTCCTACATATATTTCGTTTTTGATAAGTACAAACTTGTCACTTTCAAAAACTAGCCTAAACTCATTTTTACTCAACAAAGATCCGGAAACAAGATTCTTGTGAATGTTCGGTACATGCAGCACATTGTTAAGAGTGAGTTCCTTTCCAGATGTCATCTTCAGAATAATCTTTCATTGTCCTTCAACTTTGGAAGTTGGGGAGTTTCCTATAAAAAGTTGTTCACTGTTGTCCACTGTAGAATAAGATGTGCTTGTTTTTCTTTTGCTTTTGCCTTTGCCTTTGCTACCACAATCTTTGGCTCAATGTTCCTCTTTGTCACAAATGTAACATTTTCCATTAAACTTGTACTTTTTAGTTTCCCCCCTTTAGAGCCTTGTGATGAACTTTCTCTAGAAAATTTCTATTTCTTTTTGGAGCATGTTTCACCACATTTGCCTTAGACTCCATTGGATGCTTACCAGCCCGCTTTTCAGAATTGCGGTTGTCCTCTTCAATCCTCAAATGCATAATCAATTCTTCTAAAGATATTTCTTTGCGCTTGTGTTTGAGGTAGTTCTTGAATTCCTTCCAGCCTTGTGGTAATTTTTAATTAAGGCTGCAACTTGGAAGGATTCACTGAGAGACATGCCTTTTGCGCGAATGTTATGCAGAATGAGTTGGAGATCTTGAACTTGGCTGATCACAGTCTTAGAATCAACCATCACAAAGTCAAGGAATTTGCCAACCACAAATTTCTTTAAGTCAGCATCTTCTATTTTATATTTTTTCTCTAAAGACTCCCAAAGTTCCTTTGCTGTCTTGATAGGACTGTAGATGCTATATAATGTGTTGTCAAGTTCGTTTAAGATGTAGTTCCGACAAAGGAAATCAGCATGTTTCCAGGCATCAACTGCAGCAACCACTTACCAGTCAGTTTCATTCTCTTTCAAAATAGGAGTATCCTCACAGAGAAAACGGAGAAAACGAACCAGGTTGAGAGTCGTAAGATAGAACAGCATTTTTTGTTGCCATATTTTAAAATCAGTTCCTGAGAACTTCTCTGGCGTCTTACCGTGATTGACTGGCATAGTCATAACAGGAGGAGGGGTTGGAGCAATTGTAGCCACCACACTAGTACTTGTATAAGCATTAGTTTGACCAGTTTTAGTAGCCATGAATTCTAAATTATAAAACGAATTTATAATTAGAATTATATATTACACAGAAAATTTAAACCAAAACCACAGAATTAAATTCTGTAAAATAAAAGAAACAATAATTGTAACTTCTATTTTCAATTAATTTGGAAATAAAATAAAATTTTATTTAACAAAATTAATTCCACATAGAAAATTTTTGTAACACTTCAATAATTAAAATACTGAAATAAAATTTTAATTAACGAACACTTAGAAATAATTTCTCCCAAAATTTCACAAATAAATATTCTGAATTGTTAATGACCCCAGTATATTACTACTAATTATCAAAGAAAATAGACAGTATATTAATACTATCTGTCAAACAGTATATTACTATTATTTGTTTTTCTAACCAAAATATTATTTTGTAAAATCACAGAAATGGCATCTATCTTTCAGGATACAATGATCTTCACAAATTATAGTAGCACTTCAAACAATTTGTACGGCGAACAAAAACCTTGTGTTCTATACTCTCTTTAATTTTTTCCTAAAAACTAATATGAAGAGTATTTATGCAAAGGAGCAAAACTAGACAGCAAAATAAAACTTTCAGATTATTTCCAGATGTCCAAACTGTTGGAATAGTGCTGGTATTTATAGGCAAAATAATTTGCCCGAACAAGTTCAATTGAACTGAACAGGTGCATATTTTGAATGAACAGATGCAGTCCAAAATTCAACAGATCTGTTCGAACTGTCCAGTTTGTATCTGTGTAACTGTAGCAGTTATGAGCAGATTCCAACAATTAACCTGTTGGAAATTTCGGACTGAATGATATAAAAATGGAGAGAAAATTAATTTAATTTTTGGCACAAAATTTGAATTTGATTTCAAATAAATTTTGTCCAAAAAATTAATATTAGAACCGACCCGACCTATAACCGCGCCTGGCTAGTCAGACGGCACGCGTGTTGTGGTTTGGGCTAAGGTTCACTTTGTCCATAACTCTTCCCTTCTACAAACTTGGGGTGCCCCCTGGGGCCTAACACAAGTTAGTACACTAAAAGCTTATATACTGACAAAAGCTCTCTTAAAGTTTCAACGTAGGACAACACATTTCAAGGAAATCTACATTTAATTTTTTAAATATCTATTACACGAATCTGAAAACGACGTCAAGTTCCTATTTACTCATAAATGGTTTTGACGAATCGTCTTTACCGTGTGACTTGCTATGCGGTAAGGAACACGTCAGCTCTTTAGGCCTACCTCAAAAAATGTGTGGACCCCACTCAATTTTGGGTTCAAGTTAGCCCAAAATAAACCTATAAAAACTAAATTTTCCAACATCTAGTTATAAACCTCTAGTCAATAGACTAACATCAGACATATGATCTTGCATATGCTTATTAAACCTCGAGTGACACTTGTAAATATATATATATACTGAGAGGATAAAAAGCGTAAGTTTGGGCCGAGCTAGAACTGGGAAGAAGTGCACTGAGCTATGGGTTGAGTAGAATGGGCTTCGCCGCTGGGCTCTGTTAGCCTGGTCATGGATGACTAAAGTGAGCTCGGTTCAGAGTATTTTGAACTGGGGTACAAGGAGTTGCGTTATGCAAAGAAGTTGATACCGAGCTAGGTAAAGCAAGGTAGAACCGAGCTAAGGAGAGTTCGGTGAAACTTGCCATGTCAGCATATGTCAGCCCGGTTGCTTGGTCATACTACCGAGGTAAAACCTTTTCACTGGGTTAAAGCAATGAGGAGGGTGTTGAAGGATAAGCATTATCTTTCAGGAGTATGATTCTTAGGAGGACTCTGCGTTGCAGAATAAGAGTCCTACTAGGATTGTGCTAGGCAAAAACTATAAAAGCTCTCAACAGAACCTATGTACAGGTATCACAACTTTGATTCTCGAAATACACAAAGCTTTTGTCTATTTGTCTATTTTGCTGACTTAGGCATCGGAGAGGTATCCGGCACACACCCGCCGGCTAGCTCACGTTTGTGTTTTCAGGGAATAAAGCGACGACGTTTGGAGGAGCGCAGACTTGATCAACAGGATTATACGAGAACATTATTTCGTGCTCGTACAATTGGCGCCGTCTGTGGGAAGTCCACAAAGAACAAAACCTCTTGATCAAGCTTTCATCTCTAGTTGGAAGCAATGGCACACAATGAAGACTTGCCGCAATCGGCTATTGATGGGCAAACCCCGGAGGGGGGTGGGAGGCGTGAAGGTTTGCCTTCTATCCCTCCCATGGCGGATTTAGAGCCCTAGCAACAGAACTCTCAGAGGGACGCAAGGGAGAGACGGGGCACTAGCCCTCGTCGCTCTCAAAGTCCTGATAGGCAGAGGCGGAGGTTGGATCCTCAAGTTTTGGAGGATCGCGTGAGGGAGCAAGATGAGTTAATTAGGAAGATAGCGACAGACATGGAGACAATAAAGCACCAGATAAAGGGAAAATGGGTGGCAACAAGAGAGGGGCGCAAAGGTAACACGCCCCCTCGCCACTCGGAGGATCGTGATAGGCATACCACACTATCACAAGCACAAAGCAGGAGCCTTAGAACAGGCGACACTCAATCAAGGACTTTCAGGACTCGTCACTCTAGGTCTGAGAGAATGAGGACTAAAAGGTCTTATACAGAGGGAAGCTACTATTACCCCTCGCACACGCACTAGACGACATTCAAGCACACGGAGTTGCCTAGGTCAGCAGACTTACGGTCGGTACTCGAGGAGAGGGCCCGACGGAAGGAGGACTCCAGGGCCCGCGACCTCCGTAGGATTTCGACTCTACAGCGATTGGCCCCTAGGACACATGGAAGTGTCGAAGTTGGGATGCCAATGCCATGCCTTGCTTACGAACTAGCGGATAAGGTATTAGCAAGGTTCTAGAGCTCGCCGTTTGTTCCGGCAATGGAGAATGCACCACTACCTTCGGGCTTCCACCAGCCCAAATTCACCACTTATAAGGGAAAGACAGACCTCTACATACACTTGAGCCACTTTTGCCAAGTTATGGCAGCGTACTGGCGGAATGAGGCCCTGATGTGTATCCTGTTCCCATCTAGCCTTGGCGACCTAGGTCTAACCTGGTTCAAAAGGCTACCAGAAGGCAGCATCGCCTCCTGGGCACAATTGACAGAGACGTTCGTGACTAGATTCAGAACGAACACCAAGACACCAGTGAAGATCGATCAGCTACTCACCATTGACATGGGCGACAATGAGACGTTGAGATCCTACAACGGTCGATATTGGGAGACTTTCAACCATATAGGAGATTGCCCCACAAATCTCACCATCGCGCAATACAAAAGGGGTCTACCAGTCGGAAACAAATTGAGGGACTCAATTATTATGATGCCACCCCTCACGATGGAGGCCCTAATGGAGAGGGTGCACCAACATATCCGCGTGGAAGAAGATAACGCCCGAGCTAAAGCAAAATCTGGCTCAACAGTAATGCCAGACAAAAGACTGCAGTAAAAGTCAACACGGTAGAACAATCGAACATGAATGGGCGAGGCAGGCGAGCCAACAAGGAGGGCCCAAAAAAAAGGAGGTTAAGAGTTCGCACTGCTATCACCATCGTGTTTAGTAAACCTATCTACCGAATTCTCAGCGAGATAAAGAATCAACCCTTCGTTCGGCGGTCGGCCAAGTTGGGAGTAGCACAAAGGGGCTACGACGAGAGGTCCCGCAGCACCTTCCATGATGAGAAGGGGCACCTAACTTGTAACAACCCTCATTTTGACTTAGTCATACTTGCATACATTTATGGATGATCTTGTTTTAATATGTGCATTTGTAAATCTTGTCTTGTTTTGCTTGAATGATTGCTTGCATGCTTTGTTCTTGTCTGGTGTGTTGCCGAGGTCATCTTAAGCCTAGACACCTTCGAGACCTTGTCACTTAGAACTATCTTGGAACCCCGTTGGTTGACCTCCATCTTCACCCTAGCATATTGGCCGAGATGTCACCATCTAGGCCGAAGTGCGCGTCGCCTAGGCCGAGATGTGCATCATCTGGGCCGAGATGTTCATATCTAGGCGTTCTAGATCCTTGATCCTTGCATGAGTGATTTTGTTCCTGGAACGGTATAACCTAGACCGAGGTGTGGCACATCTAGGCCAAGGTGCGGCACAGCTTAGTCAAGTGTTGTCCTTCCAAGCCGATGTCATTGTTACCCTGCTTGCCGAAGCTTTGCCCTTAGCCGAGATCATCGCTTGCCGGAGTACTCTTGTTGTTTAGCTTGTTGAGTACACTTTGTCTTGGTCTTGTCTTGTCAAGTCAGTCACCTTTTTGAGTAGAGCCAATCAGCCGATGACATGTGTCCCGGCAGAGGGATTAAGTCAGTGATTGTCATGAGAAACATATCATTTTGTATCAAATCTTGCTTTTAGGGAGAGAAACTCTAGGAAGAAGGAGGAGAAGTTTTGAGTAAGAGAGTGAACTTCCAAGCTTGATCGTTGGAGCTTGAACCGTTAGATTCGAGTTTTGAGGTTAGAATCTTAACCTACTCTTGTTGTTCTTATTTATCATCTAGCTGCATTGCACGATCAAACCTGTTTTGCACGCCATTCATCGATTTAAAGTTGGTTTCAGAAAGAGAAAATGGTTTTCATGTGTTTTTGAAGAAAAGCCTCGTTTGATCCGAAAGTTTGCATTAAGACTCATGTTTTTGTGTTTGTTTTGATAAGATCCTTGAGTATGGGTACCCAGGTCTGTGTTTTTGAAATTATAGCATGAAATCTTAGCTTTTGTAATAGCAAGTTTTGATCTTTGCATTTATTTTCCTCATGTTCATGTTCTTCATGTTTATCAAGAGGGAAGCCCAGATTTTCCCGACTTCGCTTTTGAATG